CCGGCAGTGCTCTGGGCTCTCTTACTTTTCCTCTGTGAGAACTCGCCTGTTCCCCGCTGTCGCTGGACTGTCCATGTGCCAGGTGCTCCTGCCTTCCTGGCATGGCAAAGCTGGTGAAGTCAGCGGTCACTCCATCCCCGGTGCCGGGGGCTCATCCCACGCGTGTCTGTGAGAATTAAACTCGTTGAGGAGCACAGCTGCTCGGGTGGCCACACTCATGGCTCGGCTGCTCCTTTCCCAGCTCTGGGTTGCGCCTGCTGACAGCAGGAGAGACCCCGCAGGGTTTCAGCCCCTTGAGGGGGGTCTGACCCTGGAGTGGGCAGGATCTGGGGTAGGGACAACAGGAGGTACGTTGGGATTTGCCTTGGGAAGGGCTGAGACAGGAAGGGGGAAAATGATGGGTTCTCAGGCCTGGGGGAGGGAAAGGCAGGGTGAGGCCTGTGCCCGGTGTCCTGCCCCAGACTCCAAAGGAAGCTCACAGTGAGGGGTGATGAGCCTTGTGGGCAAAAAAAGGGTTTTCCTGTGCCTCATCCTTCCTTTCTGCAAGGTGTGACCCTCCCCTGTGCCAGGACGGAATGTCACCCAGTACTCACACGGAGGAGCACAGCTTCCCTGCGAGTCTTTGGATCATGGAGCCTGGAGGCATATCTGGGATGTCCTGTCCATCCATCAGCACAGCAGGACCAGCTCCAGCAGGTCTATCCTGATGACATTGTTGGGGTGTCCTGTGCAGCGTCAGGAGTTGGACTCAATGGTCCTTGTGGATCCCTTCCAACACAGGGGATTCCATCGTTCCATGATTTTATTCTTTGATTAGGTTGCTGGGGGCTGTGGCCAAATGGGATTTGGGAATGTCCCTGAACCCAGACCCCCTGGCAGCCTGCTCTGGTTTTGAGAACCTTCACAAGAAAAAAGGTTTCTCTTAACCTTAAAGTGGTGTTTGCTGTTCTCACGTTGTCCTCGCTGTCTCAGCCCTTCTCAGGGCACTCCCTGCTCAAAGGGTCAGCTCCCTGCACCCTCCTGCCAGGGCTTACACACGTGGGTAGCATCCCCCTGCACCTTCTCCAGACCGAGCACCTCCAGTTCAGCCTTTCCTCCTGGGAGTCCAGTCCTCTCATCATCATCAGGGAATCTCCTTCCCTAGAGACACTCAGAACCCAGCTGGACACATCTGACTGCTCCAGGGAGCCCTGCTGGAGCAGAGGGGTGGGACTGGATTACCTCCAGTTGTCCCTTCCTGCCTGTACCATCCTGTGACCTGTAGGATATACTCTGCCCACAGCACCCAGGAGGCCAGTGGCTGCTTTGCCACGGCACTGGCCCATGGCCAGCTCGGTGCTCCCAGGTTGCTGGGCAGGGCAGGGCTTCTTTCTGTGCCTGGAGTGCCCAGGCTGGGGAGTGTGGAGCTGCTGGTCCCACTGGATCTGGCTGGCGCTGGGGGAAGGAGCTGAGCCTGCGTTTTACTGTGCCTGATGCAATCCCGCTGCAATCCACAGTCCAAGGCCGTCAGCACAAGGGGAGAAGCTGCGCTCAGCAGGGGCCCCTCTCTGGGCACAGGGGCTGCAACAGCAGAGGTGAGAGGGGTCCCATGGGCTAGCAGCCCCCATGAGCCCTGGCAGCAGCTTCCCTTACCCAGGTGGGGAAGCAGGTGGGGGCAACAGTTGCCATCACCAGGCAGCACTGGTGGTGCCCTGTGGGGCTCTGGCTGCCAAGCCATGCTTCTTCCAAGCTCATCAGCCCTTGCTGGGACTCTGCAGGGATGTTCTGCCCCAAGAGTGACCTGATTGTGGCCCCAAAGCTGTGCCCCTTTGCCCCGTGGGAGTCATGAGCTGGGTGCTGAGCTGCTCTCTCCAGCCAGAGTGGTGCAGGCAGGGTGAAGGTTGGCTCCTGCTTATGGCATCTCAGAAACCCGAGGTTCCAGGGAGACCTTAGAGCCTCACGCTGCCTCAAGAGGCTCCAAGAGAGCTGGAGAGGAACTTTGGACAAGGGCCTGGAGTGACAGAACAAGGGGGAATGGCTTCCCACTGCTAGAGGGCAGGGTTAGATGGGATATTGGGAATACTGGATATTGCTGACCCCCAGCACAGCTGCCCTCCCTGGCAAGGGTGCAGCCCACTGCCAGCCTGTGCCCTGCACCCAAAGGCTCTCCCACTGCTCCTTATGCTTGGGGACTGGTTCTCCCTGTGATCTAGCCCAGGGGACTGACACACCCACCATGTCCCTGGCATAGGTGCCAGCTTCTCCCGCAGGGCTGGCAGCATCCCTGGCTTCGCAGGAAGTGGCCAGATCCCTCGAGGGGCTGGTGCGTGTCACCAGCTGTGCCCTGTCCCAGTCAAAGCAGCGTCTTGTCCATGGTGAGAAGAGGGGCTGAAGAAGAGGGGTTCAGTGGGGGAAAGCTGAAGGTCTCCCTGGGACACCTGGCTGGCAGCTTGCTGCTGCAGTGCCAGCGTGCCGGGTGGCAGGACCATGGTGCGTTGTCCCAGCTCGGCACAACCTCGCCATAAACCCTCTGCCAGGCCGGGGAGCCGATAACGGCGGGGCTGAAGTCCAAAGCGGGCAGGTCCCGGGGAGCAGATTCCAGCCCGAGGCTCACGGTGTGGCCTCTCCGAGCTCTGTTTTACTGTCGCGGTGGCAGGGATGGCTGCAGGCGGGCAGGTGCTGGTCTTCCTGGTGCTGCTGGGTGAGCTCTACCGACACGGGGGTTGTGCCGCGGGCAGGGAACGTGCTGGCTGCTCCACTCTGGTCCTCCGCAGCCTGGGCTGCCGTGGGGATCTCTGTTTCCCCCAGCTCTGGGAGGGCTGTGCTGCTCGGGCTGGGGGGCACTGGGGCAGGTACAGCCCAGCCAAAACCTCCTCTGGGCTCTTCTGGTGAAGGTCAATGCGAGGTTCCCCAGGGTGAGCAAGTGCTGGAGCTCCCAGTGCCGGGCTGGGTATCACCAATGGCTTTATTCAGCATGGGACAGAAAACGCCCAGATTTTCCTGTTTCTCCCCAGATGGGGGCTGGGACTATGACATAGCAGGCTCAGTGCCCCGGTGGGCTCTGGCACCCTGAGGACACACAGGAGTGGGGCTGAGAGTGGGAGATGGCAGTGTGGGACATGTAGAGTGCCAGGGCAGTTGACAGGGGGTCCCATCCAGGGAAGATCTCAGTGTGACCTGCCCCCCCCCATCAGGGTCCTAACCCAGGGTGCCCAGACAAATATCCCCTGCAAGCTACATGTGCCCTCTGTCACTTGCTGTGGGCAACATGCCTGGTTCCCTACAGGGTTTTCAGCCCCCTTGTCTCTCCCATAGCCAAGACCCTCCTCCCCTGCGGGTCAGTGATCATCAACAGCTGCAGCAGCGCAGCTGAGCAGCTCTGTGACTTTGTCTGCGACTGCAGTGACTGCTCCGACGAGAACCAGTGTGGTGAGTGCCCAGACTCCCCAGACCCACTCTCAGGCCCTGCTCCTGGGATGACAGCAGGCAACGGAGTGGAGAGTCTTGTGGGTGCAAGTCCCTGGGGTGATGCTGGTGCCCAAGGTGGATGCAGGGTCCCCCAGGATGGGCACAGGACCCCAGGGTGGGTGCAGATCCATGGGTTGGGCACAGGTCCCCAGGATGGTGCCAGAGCTGCCCTGAACCCCCCATCTGCCCACCCTCAGGGTACCTGCGAGGCTCAGCAGTGCTGGGCACCCCCTTCACTTGTGACTTTGAGGATGGTGACTGTGGTTGGCAGGACGTGGGCACCTCAACATACAGATGGGTGCGGGGCCGGGCCAGCCTGGCCATGTGGGGCACAGGGCCTCACTCGGACCACACCGTGGGCACCGACCTGGGTAAGCAGGAGCTACTTGGCTGGTGAGTGCTCTCTGGGCACCCACGGCACCACCCCGCTGGGCTGTGGGTGCCCTCAAGTCAGGGTGCCAGGACACCCACCCTTGTAAGGTGCAGGGGATGGAACAGACCCGTGGAGGGGCAGGATTGGTGCTGGCAGAGCTCCTGTGCCATCCCATGGGGCTGCAGCCCCTGTTCTGCTCTCTGCCCTCCTCAGGCTCGTTCTTGGTGACTGTGTCCCCCCCTGCAAAGACTGTGGCTACGGCCTGGCTCAGGTCACCAGAGATGCAGGAAGCAGCTGCCACATGTGAGATCAGAGCCTGGTACCACCTCTCAGGAAGCTGTGAGGGCACCCAAGGTGGGCACAGACAGCATCAAGTACCAGGCACAGGGCAGTGAGGATGGGAGGCAGTGGGGAGGGACGGGGCCCCCACGGCAGGGGCAGGATGGTAAGGCAGTCCTTGCCATCCCACTTACCTCTTCTACACTCCACACTGGTGGAACCCAGGAGTCCCAGCTCCAGTCCCCAGAGCTGGCAGGGCCCCCGGGATGCCCAGTGCCAAGGGTACTTTTGGGGCTCCCTGCAGGGCTCAATGAGACGGAGCAGCTGGTGCTGCGCCTGGACGTGGCATACAGGGACGAGGTGGTGGGGCTGTGGCAGAGCCCTGAGCGCAGCAGCAAGGGCTGGCACGAGCTGGTCGCCTACCTGGGTCGGATCGCGGGGCAGTTCCAGGTGAGACAGTGTAGGTACCCAGGTACTGTCCCTCCAAGCTGGGGCCAGAGGAGCTGGGGGGTGCTCCAGGAGCCCAGGGGACCCAGGCAGCTCATGCCATCCCTGTCCTCCCATCACAGCTTATCTTCTCCCTGACACAACCACCCGCCTGCGGGGCAGAGGTGGCACTCGATGACATCATCTTCAGGAACTGTGGCTTGCCAGGTGAGTCCTACATCTGCTGATATGTGAAACAGGGTCTCGGGGGAATTGGGTGGGGCTTTGCACCCCAGGGGAGCTCTCCCATTGCCCACTGTGTCTTGAGGCACTGTGCCCTGGCATGAGGTGGACAGCGAAAACCTGTCCCTTGAGCCACCCCAGGGAAAGATGGGGGTGCCCACCATGCCCTTGTGGGGCCAGCCACTTGCTGACGTGTGTCCCCCCGCCCCAGGGCCCGGGCAGCAGGACTGCGGGGCCCAGGAGAGCCGCTGCAGGCCGCGGCTCCTGCGTGGCACAGCACCGCCTCTGCGACGGTACGGACGACTGCGGGGACGGCTGGGACGAGGACACGACACGTTGCAGTGAGCAGCCCTGGCCCCGGGAGGGGGTCCTGCCCACCAGCTCCCTGACCACAGGGATGGACTGAGGTTC